AAAAAAAAAAAAAAAAAAAACAAAAAAAAAAAAAAAACCAAAAAAAAAAAAAAAAAAAAAGGGCAAGCATCTAGTTCTTCAAGCTATTTATTAAGTAAGTCTGTCTAATTTAGAACTTACCTGTAAGGATGAGCTATTTTTTCTCTTCCTAATTCTGGCATTGACAGCGATACTTAACATCCATCAGAGTTATCCCTTCATTTTCCTCTTTTCGAAACCTTTAGATTGCAGAGCACATTCCACAATCAGCCGCAGAAACAGGCCATGAAAAAAATAAAAACAAACAAGAAATTTGTTTCAGAAGAACAAAAATTAATTCACTTTAGGGTAACTGAGGAACTATGAGGAATCCCTTAAGTTTATATTTCATGTGGTCCATTTGAAAACAGCCATATTTAAAGGAGAGTTACTTTCAAATAAGTTCAGTTGTACTTTGCCATTATTACTTATGGCCTTTCCATTCTAGATTTTTTTACTCCTAAGAATGACAGTTGATACAAAACCTCTGAAACACCATTTATCTCTTAGACTTGCAGCTCCTTTACCAAAGGATAATGACACCTTCAAGTTACACAAAAGGGTAAAGTTATGTGGAAACTGGGCCACCTAAAATTTCTACCTTTGTTTCAGTCCCATTTTTCAAGGGTAAAAATCATGAGCAGAAAACAGCATTTATGTCAGTATGTGCAGGTTTGTAACGTGTATGCATGATAGCACCAGGAAACAACCCCAAAATGAAATAAACAATTCCATTCATAATAACATCAAAAAGAATAAAATTTTTAGAAATAAATTTAACAATAAAAAGCGCAAAACTTATACTCAAAAACTACAAAAACATTTTTGAAAGAAATAGAAGATCTAAATAAAGGGGAAACATCCCATGTTCATGGATAGGAAGATTTAGCATTGTTAAGATGGCAATACTCCCCAATCTGATCTATAGATTCAACACCATCACTATCAAAATCCAAGCTGACTTCTTTAGACATTAAGCACTAAGAAAACATTTACAAGAATGGAAAGTACTTCTTGCATGGAGTTACTTTTGGTTTGTAGACTAGGGTTTTAGAAACTGAAACAGAAATCACTGCATCAGCCCTCTATATCCCTAGGGCTTTCTTAAGGTAAATTGATTGACAACCCACATATAAACCCTCAGATCCAAACAAGGCCCCCTCTGTAATATAACCTTGTCACTGCTAGCTTGGATCAATGGGAACCAGCCCAAAGCCATCTGAAAAAAAATATGTGGTGGTGGAATAATGGAAGCTAAAGGAAATTGGAAACAAACAAAAAATGCTTCTTGACTTCGTTCCATAGGGTCAGAGAACCAAACACATAAAAGAGAAAATACACTTTAAAAATCTTTAACACTGCATTTTCTTGGGGAAAAAATCTGCAAGGCAATTTCCTTTACATGGAACAAATATTATATTGTTTGATGTGAATCAACCAATTTATACAAGCCATCTAATGAGCAGTCAGTATGTTGTGTATCAGTCACATTAATGCAACAGAAATGGGCTTTGTTGCAGATACTCTAGACCTAGTGAACCTCACTTCATCAAGATTTAGGTAAGAAGTTAGCCTCTCTTTTACTCTGAAAGAGATCAAAGGTTGAACCAAGACTATCTTTTAGACATGCTTCCTCTGCCTCCCAAATCACCATATAAAAGCAATCTTTATTTAATAAACACACATGAATTTTATGCCACTGACAGGAATTTATTTTTCTATTAAATAAGACTACAACACTCTGAATTGTGTGCTTAGATCTGCAATTCCATCCAAGATTAATGACAATTAAGTTTTTAACATTGAAAACAACTTACAAAAAGAAAAAAATTGCTTTGGGGAAAAAATGGAAAGCTCTCCAAAATAATTACATTCGTTTACATGTGCAAATAAAAAGGCAGATGTTACCCCTTTACACTGATAGATGTCACAGAATGTGCCAATTGACACAGAACTCCTCCTTATACAAGACACACTGCATAATATTTACAGATTTGACACATGAAGGCACAGGTAGACACAGGGCATTCACTGTGCCAAAGAAGCTCAAGGTTTTAGTTTAGAGGACCATGTGTTAGCGACAGGTGCACTTAGTGGCTATCATATCTTCATATTCTTTATAAGCGATTGAGCCATCAGGCTCAATAGTCAACACACTCAAAGGGCTGTATCTGGCAGGCACACAGGACGGTTTTGGCACTGAGGAGTCGAGCTGCTTCTCATAGATGATGTTCTGCACCATGGTGTGTACTGGAGAGCCATACCGATGCCCAACTGCCCTTGGACAGTCCCCTTTACAGTATCGGGGGTTATATCTGTGTGGGGCCACAATCCAGTTGTCCCACTTCAGCTGACTAAAACGAAGCCTGAAGTCATGGAGCTCACACTCATCCTGGGGAAAGAGGAACTGTCTGAAGTATTCACTCAGGTTGAAAGAAGCTGGAACTAGAGGCTTCTTCAATTCTGAGCTGAGAGTGTCCTGACCTCTCCGGTGACGGTGATGGGAAGGTCTTACTCCTTTAGCAGCCTCTTCTCCCATAGGACAGGCAGACAGACCTCTCTGGTCACGAGCCTGTGAGGCACTTCTTCTATAGTGGAGGGAATACCACCTGTGATGAGCCTGAGCACTCGTGTCATTCAGATACAAAAGCAGTGAGGGGGGTACCAGGTCAAAGGGACTGTCCCGTGCTGAAGGGTGTTGCAGCTGGTCTTTCAAGCATGTAAAAGTCACAGACATGTGAATACTTCTCTTGCCGGAGGCCACAAGAGGTTGAAGCAGGGCGGTCACATCAACTTCAACCCAGTTGTATTTCCTTCTAAATTCCAACTGTGATTTAAAGGTAAAGGAGTGTGGAGCCCTAGGGCGAGTCTTGCTAGAACTAGACTCTGGCTCTTTCAGCAGCAGGTGGCACACACATTTAGCAGCAGAGGGGAAAGACGCTGAGTTGTTCAAAGTGTACAGCAAGACTGACTTGAGTAAGTGTTCAACAGCAGTAACAGGATCCAGGTTAAACAGCAGGTCCACTGACAGCATCGGCACCATTCCTGGGGAGAAAAACAATTCACCAGTGGTGTTTGGATACAATCGAAGAGAGCAGGATGTCAAATCACGGAATCAGTACTTTGGAATATACTGTCTCCCTTCTCTTTTCTTACTTCCTTAAACCCTAAAAAACGGGGGGAGGGGGCGGTTATACAGAAAATATAGGTAATTGGGACCATAACTAATTCCCAGCAACTACAAGTGGATATATACTCACCAGAAAGTCAGAACAGCTTTGGTGGTGAATTAAAATAACAGGGAATTATTACGCAGTTTAATTTTTAGAATCTTAATAACTTGCTCCAAACATAGAGGAAGTTAATAAGGAAAATCCTATTTTTCTCTTGGGGAGTCTCTAGAGGGAAAACTATAATAAAAAACACTTACTAGGTTTGTTAAGCAGACATTCTAAGCCTTAATGGATGGTTTCAATAAAAGCTAACTTGTCTAAGTTAATTTGGAACACTTGAGATAGACAACAAATGGAAGCTCTAAAGCCACCAAAATAAAATAGGACAGCAGGAAGGAGGAAGGGTTAGAACCATGAGCTAGTGAATACAGATTTTTTTGTTTTAAAGTACTGCTGCTTTCACACACCCTCACCAAGGCGCTGAGTCAAACTGATGACTGTTCTCATGAGGACCTACTGTTCCAAATTGGGACTTAAGCTTTCCTCTCACAGAAAGCAACTAACAAGGGGAAAACAGCCTGTGTGACAAAGCACACCAACAGCTCTGAGATATTTTAGGCACATTTTCAGGCCAGCATTGGTAGGATGGAAAGAATAAGCAACTGGAAGTCAAAATACCTGGTTTCCAGTCTTGATTTTGACCTTGGACAAGATGCTAACCTTCCCCAGCAGCACTTTCCTTGGTCATTAGAGCCATTACGTCTCTTCTAGCTCTAAAATTCTATCATACTAGCCCATCTTAACCCATGAGGGCACTAGAAGAAACAATAAGATCAAGCACCAGATTTTTTGAATTTGGATACTGAGTGTCATGAAAAGTAAAATGCAATTCAAGGAGCGAGGCCCAGCTCCTTTCTGTAATTGAAGTGCAGCCCGGTCTATCATCTTCCCTCCACCCATTAACCAATCTGCTCCTACACACCTGTCACCTGGTCCACAGAAGCCTGCTTGTGCTGAACATAAGGGGTGAAGAGCCGAACAGTGTTGTAGAGGTGACTTCTGTTGGATTTAGGGATCCCCTCTTTGGTAGCATATGCCTTATAGAGCCTCTTCATGTAGCGCAAAGCTCTGGAGTCTGGCTGCAGCCTAGGGGCCCCACCTTGCCCCTCACACAGAACCTTGAAGAGAGGGGAAAAGAGGCCAGATCTGTCTCTCTCATTTAGAGGCTGCAGCAAGGACCAAGGCTCGGCCTCAGATTCCAACTCATCACTGGCTGCAATCTGAGCTTCTCCCCTAGAAGCCTGAGAACCAAGGCTAATAGGAAAACACAGCCAGGAAAAGCAGCCAAACCAAAAAAAGAACTTGCTGGGAACCGCCATGGCTTGGAAGAACTAGCAAGGAACACAGCCATACCAGTCTACTTCCTAAAAGCCAGGAAGAGCCTCGGTTGATTTCTTAAATAAATTTTAGGTGTGTGGGTGGGTTAGGGTCACTTCTGTAATCAGACCTCAAGGATGCCTAGCTGAAGATAATTTTTATCAGGTGTATATCAAACAGCTGATAACACTATTTATCCAATTTGTCCTCATTAGATACGGATTTGGCTCTTTTGCTTTCCTCTTCCTTTCTCCTGACATTTATTTAAGACATCTTAAGTTATCGTTACACTATTGCACCAGCTATGTAGCTGAAAGGCTAAGAGAAATTGAGAAACGATCTTAAAACAAAAGAACTCATTTTTTGAGAGAGATTAGGGTTCTTAAACTGTTCCTTAGGTGCTTGCTGAAATTTCCAAGGCACGTGGAAAAACTAATTATTTATGATGATAGGAAGATCTGTTGATATGCAATTTATGGTATTAGGTTTACTCCTCCTGCTCCTTCCTCCTCACCACCTCTCCCACTTTCAGGTGCTTAGAATAATTATTTCCCACGTGTTGATTTGGAGGGTGAAAGTCACACTTGGCACTAAAACTCCAGAAAGCAGAGAACTGTTAGGTTGCCCAGCTCTCCCAAGTGGCTTAGTATAGAATATGGACTTGTGATACAATACACTTAAAAAAGGAAGACATCGCCTTTAACCTTGACTCATGTAAAATATAGTACCTTGATGTCTTTACTTTGTTTTGTCTGCACATTCACGTGTACCTATTTTGGTCGAAAGGTTTAGAAATGTTGGCAGGTGCTAGAAAATACATGGAAGTTTTACTTACTATTTTATTAATGGCTCAAATGGTGGTAGAATTTCCTAGGGTATTATTGTTGTTAACTGTTATGTTCTTGCCTTGGAGTTGAGACCAAGCTAGCGGTCATGTTTTGAGACAAAGGTGCGCCATGAAAAGCTGAAATGAGGAGATATCCAGTGCCCACCCCTAAGGAGACTGTGCAGGCAAAAGGGCAACCCACACTCCTGGTACAAGATACAGAACCAGTCTGTGCAGTACTTAGGCTGATAAAACAGAGGTATGTTCGCAAATTGAAGTTCCTTGCCTGCCAAGCCTTCCTGGCCTGCGGCTAGGAAGCAGGGTTATAAACACACCGAACTGTTGAACGAGGCCTGAGTCCTAGATGACATATAGCCAGCAATTCCCCGAAAGAAACATTTACAGGCAGCGCAGCCAGTAGAACAGCCAGACAGCTGCACAGGGGGGCAGCCTCCGTAAGTACAAAGCACCTTCCGACAACACGGGAACACCTCCCAGCCAGCGTCGCCTGCCTCACCTCCTGGAAAGTGGGGGGAGAACCGCGGGCGACATGATCTATCCCCGCACCCCCTACCCAGGCCAGACCACCTCCGGGATGTGAAA